TGAGGACCCCACTGGGGCTGGGGGCTCCACTTGGCTCCCCTGGCTGCAGCACTGGGGGTGCCAGGAAAGGAGAAGCAGTGGGAGCCGAGAGCATGCAGCAGCACCTCGGGGGATGCTGAAGGATTCAGCTCAGGGCATCATGTTAATTAATGACTCGTTATTAGATTAGGGAGTGCTTGCCAGGCTGGGGAGGCTTTGCCAGAGCGCTGGCAGGGAGCGGCTCAGCCGGTGTGGGCACAGCAGGGAGGCTCTGGAGAGAGCCCTTGGCTTTCCAGACACGAGCGGAGATGAGGCCGCGATGCAGATCCGGCCCTGATCACAGGGATGAGCTCCCAGCTGGTGCTCCTGGGAGACCTGGGGATTTGGAGTCATAGAATCATTAAGGTTGAAGGAGACCTCTGAGATCATGAAGTCCAACCATTTCTGATGGTTGGTGCTGATTTGGGGCCCCTTCTCTGCTCTCGCCCAGGTTGCCTTGTGCTTCCTCACTGCTCTCCCACTCTGCACCCCCCTTGGGACCAGTGGGTTCCCCATCCCATAGAACATTGACAGATCCCAGTCACCACTGACCTCGTCAGCAGCCCTGGCCTCTCACGTTAATCACCCTATCTATCATCAGCCACTCAAGGACAACCAAGGCTCTGTGATATCTCCTCGTATTAGGATGTGAGGATAATGATATGAGGATAATATTAGGGTATTAGGATAATGGAGAGGCCACGTAGCTTTGGTTAATCAGGGGATTGTGAGGGTGAGGGTGGGAGTGCTGCTCTTACGAGAAGGTGACAAACCATTTCCCCAACTGTTGTCCCTGCACAGGGTGCTGGCTGCACAGCACTGGTGGTGGCTGTGGTGGCCAGGAAGCTGGAGCTCACCAAAGCTGAGAAGCATGTCCACAACTTCATGATGGACACGCAGCTGACAAAGAGGGTAAGGTGCCGTGGGGGGCAGCAGGAGTAGGGGACCCTGTCGTGTGCTGGGAGTTGGGGATTTGGGGTGCCATGGCAGGAGGAAGGTACCAGCACCTCTGGGTGTGGGTACCACAGTGGAAGAAGGTGTTGGCATCTTTGGGTGTGGGTCTCATTGGTACCACAGTGGAAAAAGGTGTTGGTATGTCTGGGTGAGGGTCCCACAGTGGAGGAAGATATTGGCATCTTTGGGCGAGGGTCAGACAGTGGAAGAAGGTGTTGGTATCTCTGGGCAAGGGTCAGACAGTGGAGGAAGGTGTTGGTATCTCTGGGTGAGGGTCCCATGGGTAGTACAGTGGAAAAAGGTGTTGGCATCTCTGGGTGAGGGTCCCATGGTGGAGGAAAGTGTTAGCACCTCTGGGTGTGGATCCTATAGGTCCCCCAGTGGAGGAAGGTATTGGTGTTTCTGAGTGAGGGTCCTGTGGGTCCCACAGCAGACTCAGTTGTCTGAGTGCTGTGGATGCAGCACAGGCACAAGTGTTAATGCTGAAAGCAAACAGCACCAGCTCTGTTCCAAAGATTTGGGCAATGCAGGATGCTCAGCCACACCCCCAAAAGAAAAAGCCCCATTTTTTTCCCCTCTGGGAGATGCAGACTCCTTCCTCCTGCGGAACATGATCTCACCTCTTGGTGTCAGGAAGACAACCGGATTCAATGATTCAGCACCTGCCACAGACAAGAGCCACACTGTGAGGCTCCTGCTGTTCCCATCCCTGAGGAGGGACTCCTGTGGTGGGGGCTTCAAGGGGTTGCTGTTGTGTCTGGTGTCACATCCCCAGTAGCATTTAGGAGGCTGCAAAGGGTCTCTGGTCTTGGCATCCTCATCATGCCCAAGCCTTGCCAACCCAGCAGTGCTGTGCAGTGTAATGGGCTCTGTGCACTGGAATGGTTTTTAGAGGTGGCTTGGAAGGGCAACTTGGTGGTGATGGGATGTGAGCAGGGCACCTGCTTTGGGCCCAGAGAGCAGAGCCCTGGGCAGAACCACACACCGGCTGAAGATAGTCAGGACCTCGGTGTGACCCAGCCAGGAAAGCAAACAGCTGGTCAGCTCCACTCTTCCAGCCATGGATATGGATCTGTGGGCTCCAAGCCAGGCAGACAGCAGCCAGTTCCTCCTGGAGTGAGCAGCAGAGCTGTGGTTTATCCAGGGAGTCTGCGGAAGTTGCGGCCCTGTGCTGGGACCTGCCAAGACTGGCAGATGGATGGAGGAATTGAGAAAAACTTTGGGATTTTTCTGTTTCTCAAGGCTCAGGGTATAACTTTGTGCACAGGCAAGGAGCCTGGTGCCAGAGCATCAGTGCAGAGGAGGTTGGGGATGTGGGTCAGGAGCTCTGCCTCCTCTTACAGCTCAAGCTGTCAGCCCTTGCAATGCCTCAGGAGGCTGTGTGGCTGCAAAGCCAAGCACCTCACTCCAGCTGGGACCAGTCAAGGGTCTCTTGCAACAGCTCCTGGCAGAGCCAGACCAGTATCCCTGTGAAATCCCACACTCTGGGGCCTGGTGACCTGCAGCCAACTCTCCTTTTGCAGATCAAGAACGCAGCAGCCAATGTCCTGAGGGAAACGTGGCTCATCTACAAGCACACCAAACTGCTGAAGAAGATCGACCACGCCAAAGTCAGGAAGCACCAGAGGAAGTTCCTACAAGCCATTCACCAGTAAGGGGCTGTGCACTGGGCTGGGGACGTGCTGAGCCCCAGGTGAACCAGGGTCCTGTCTCTGGTGGGGTGTGGGGAGAAGTTTTCCATTGCCTGGGAAGCAGACAGGTCTCTGGCTGTGGTTTGAATTGGAGAAGGAGTGCAGACACATTGCTCTTTCACTCTCCCCAGGTTGAGGAGTGTCAAGATGGAGCAGAGGAAGCTGAGTGACCAAGCCAACACCCTGGTCGACCTCTCGAAGGCAAGTCCTACAGAGACCTCGTGGCTTGGCCAGACTGCCCAAGTGTTTCTCTTCACTCAGGAAGGCTAAAGCAGACCTGGCTGACCGCAGAATGCTCCTAGATGTCAGCCAGGGATAGCTGCTGTGGGACGGCTGTCCTTGCAAGGCAGGAGGAAAAACACACACAAAAACTAGGGGGGCTCCCACACCCCCTTTTGCAGGGGGTCGCATTGCACGGTACCCGCAGAGCTTCCTTGCTTTGACACCCAGGAGTGAGCAGAGAACCCTGAGAGGGCAGAAAGGGGTGGCAGCAGCAGCAGCACTAACCCTTCAGTGCGTGGCACTAACCCCTCACTGTCTCCTCCCCAGATGCAGAACGTGATGTACGATCTCATCACGGAGCTCAACGACCGCAGCGAGGACCTGGAGAAGCAGATCAGCGGCCTGGAATCCAAGCTGGAGCAGCTCAGTGCCAGCTTCAACTCCCTTCCCTTGCTGCTGGCTGACATGCTGCGGCAGCAGCAGCAGCGCCTGCTCGCCGCCGTGCTGGAGGCTCGAGGGGTCGGGGTGCCCGTGGGTACCTCCCAGACGCCTCTCTCCGAGAGCCCCATCGGGGTCAGCTCCACCTCCTTCCCCACTCCTTACACGAGCTCAAGCAGCTGCTAAAACGCAGCCCCTCGGCCTGCCGTGGACAGGGGAAGCAATTTCTGCACAGGTCACGAGGTCTCCGTGAACTCTCTCGCGGTCCTCCAGCGGGATCGACGGTGCCGAGCGCCGCTCGGAGCTTTGCCAACGCCTTGGGATCGGGAATCGCATCCCCGTTCAGGTGCCTCTACACGTGGTGCAGGAAGGGGCCGGGAGGTGCCACCTCGGGCCAGCCCGTGGATGGGAAACCCACACTCAATCTCAGGTCTTCACATTTGAAAACAGAACAAAACACCAAGTCCGAAGCACTGAAGCAACGGAGACACCGCAGGGAGAGTTCTTCTCCTCGGGGCACAACCCTCGCTCCCTGCCCCTCTCACCACCACCAAGCCCTGCCAGGCAGATGCCCACGTGGGGGTTCCTCATGCAGGTTCTGTCTGACGCTGCCCACGCTCCGTGCCAGGACCCACGGGAACACCCCCACGCTGCTGTTTGGGTGATGACAGTGCCTGGCTGTGACCTGCCTGGGGCTTCTCTGGAGCTGTGAGTGTTTTCTACCTGGGGAAGAACAAGGGATGCTTCTTCTTTCTGGTCCTCGGCGTCACATCCTGCCCGGAGACGCGTGCCAGGGCCGGGCAAGCAGTGCCTACAGCGTGCGGGGCCACGCGGGGCTGCCCCAGTGGCCAGAAACTGGCGAGCCCGGGCACCAGGAGGGCTCCAGGTGCTCACACCACTGCCTGCCTGGCAGCCCCCAGCGTTTTGGGAAGCCTCAGAACTGCTGGGTGAAACCAGCTCCAACTGTCTCCACTCGTACCAGGAATGTCCGTGCTCTAGCCCAGCCTGGCAGCATCCAACCCACCAGGAGCTCGCTGGCAAGTGATGTGGTAGCAGGGGCAGGTGCTTCATCTGTTTAAAACAAAGCCCATGGCCTTCGTGCTGCTCTGCTGGCTTTGGTGGGGAGCAGCAGCACTCCCTGGCACTGTCTGGGTGGTGGCACTGCCACCGCTGCCTGCTGAAGCGCAGCCCCTCAGGCTTCATTTTCCTTCTTGCTGGTGTTCAGCTTCCTGAGGTGCCCTTTGCTGCTCCTGGCACCAGCCACGTTCTGTTCTGCTTTCAATTCCCTCTTTTCCCTTCTCATTTCTGCCCCAGCGTCGTGCTCTGGCTCTGCCAGGTCCTTGCGTGGAGCTGTGCCAGGCTGACTCTGGGGCTGGTGTTTGCTGCTTTCCATGAAAACTCAGCAGAGGATATTTACATATTTTTAAACAGATGAAGTAACCATGTAATTACTCCGTGATATTAATTACACCTCACCCAGCAGTGTCAGTAATTGTAATCAAAGTCACTGTGCTACTCCAGGTATACTCAGCCTGTA